GAAGGAACCCTGATCAGCATTGATTGCTCCAGCAACGTGGAGGATTGACTGCCAGCTTGCCCTGCTTGCCCCTTTCCTCTCAGGACTACTATAAGAGCCTGTCAGATAAATCTTGCACAACCAGAAAGGTCTGAGAAGCTACCACTGCTGCCAATGCTGTCTAGGCCCTAAGCTCCTAAGCCCCTCAAATAAGCGTCGTACAATCCTTAGCAGTCTAACCCCTGCTGTCTTGTTTCTGTCTAAACCCTCAGCCCTAAACCCTACACCCTAAAGAAGATTAATCCTCTTCCATGTGTTCCCTGTGCAACCTCGTCTGCCGCCTGTCACGTGTGTGCCTTGGGTACTCTTCTAGGCTCAGATCGGGGCTGGTTCCCCAAGTACCTGGGTGTTCTGCTAGGGTACCAACTTGACCGAATTATGCCAATCTTTCTATCGTAGAACGTGCCCCATCTGCCATGCCCCTTTGTCAGCTACCAACCAGATCCGCTAGAAGTTGGCTTGCACTGCCTTACTCTTTCTTCTCTTTTTTTTCTTCTTTCACGTTCTTTGAAAGAAAAAAAACACAGACATCCCCATCTATTCTGGGCGGCAGCAGTTCGGTTACTTATCACCGGCAAGCCGCACTTTGAGGCCCCAGGTTTTGAAGACAAAACTCCTGGCTGGCCTTTCGTGCGCAGCTCTTCCAGTCTTTCTCCAGTCCAGCCAGATAATAGTCCGTTCGAAAGTTTGTCAGAATCATATTCATGATGCTGAGGTCCGTGTAGAAGCTCGTTCGAAAGAGTCTGTCGTTCCGGAGTTTCCAGACTATCGAAANGACTATCGAAAGTTTGTCAGAATCATATTCATGATGCTGAGGTCCGTGTAGAAGCTCGTTCGAAAGAGTCTGTCGTTCCGGAGTTTCCAGACTATGTCCATGATGGCAGCCCTACATGCGGAGGCCACATAGGCACAGACCTTGCCCACCTCTTTCTCATTACTCAAGACCCCATCTACCACAAACCTTCCACGCCAATTGTTTCCCAACCTCCAGATGTTTTACCCACAACCTGGCCCACTATTGCCACTATGCACTCCCACCAGAGGTCGGTGGCGTTCTCCGCCTCCCTTTTACACCGGCAGTATGATTCCTCTACTGGCATGTTTTTGGCGGCCAGCCATTTGGCTGTTGGAATCACACACTGAGACTCCAACCATATCAAACTACTGAATCTGGCAGAGGTACAATGCCTTGTGGTTGGGACGTTGGACCAAGTTTGCAGCAGGTGCAGCTGCCCGCCAATAGATTGGAGCCATCGAACAGCGCAGGCTCCAACTTAACAGGAGCTCTTACAGCCCGATAGGTAGTGGTCTGTCATTAATGCAAGGAAAATGAGCGATAGCGAACTTCAGAAAACAAGCAGCATCGTACACATGCGACCAGATAGTCGTGACCTCGAACCAAAAGCAGATTTGCATCACGAGTCCCACCAAATAAGAGCACGGCAAAAGCTCATAAGTGACAATGTTCGAATAGTCTCATCATCATCAACAAAGAACCAATGTCGACATCCTATCTGGCGCTCGGCGCCCAGACTACAAATGGCAGATCCTATCTAGCCTATCTACAATGACGCTGATGACGTCAACAGCTCCCCGAAGTACGAGCAGATCTCGGCCAATGTCGTTCGCCTCAAGCACCAGGTATGTCTCTCGTATCACTCACAACCTCGATCCCCCACTCACAGATGCGACATGCACCCAAGGACCACCATGCGCCCCATCCAGCTTACAGCAGCGCAGCTCGGCTATGGCTGCCTGCTCATCCAGCTCGCCCGTGAGCGCATGAGCGCTGGCCAGCGTTAGCGAAGCAGCGCTTGCGCAGCATGCAGCCAGTGCCCGAATGCCGAATGCGTGGGCAGGCACTTTCCTAAATGGAAGTGGCCTGCCTGCCTTGCGTGCAGCCTGGCTGCGCTGGGCCCCTGCCCAGAAGCTTCCGGTAGGCCCAGAGAAGCTGAGCCCCGGTCCAAACGAAGCCCTGGGCCTGTGGTGGTTGCCCGTGTCCAACTGCCCGCTGTCGAGCGCATCGGTCCGGCACCGCACAGGGCAGCGCGGGACCCTCCCGGCCGCATCACGCAGGAGTTGGTTTAAATCCTTCGTCGCGAATACACATGGAGCTTTCGCAAGCCGCTCCGGCCGAGTGCGCCAGCCATACCTCCCGCGAGCCCCTACGACAGGATAGGGCCTACGCGAGGCACGACTTACCTCCACCTTATGGGGGTTGTCACCTCCCTTTAGTGGGCGTATCCCCGCCGAGCTACCAGTCCGCAATACGAAAGTTGATCAGTTGCAATCGCAGAGGTGGACCAGCCGCGGGCATTTCTCGTTAGCTGTAGCATAGGGGGTACGCGCGGTAATACGCCTCTATCGGACCCGCGCGCGAACCGACATCTTGGGGGGCTGAGGTCCCAAGCGCGACTCGTCGTCGGTCGACTAGAACGTATCCCACTCACCACGCATACACCACTCCACAAACGCAAAAATAAAACACACACACACACACCAAACAACGCGACGACACTCCTAGTCCCTTCAGTAGCCGTCCCATAACTTTCTAATGCGGAAATCGGATAGGCGTCACGCGCGGGACTTAATGTAAAACCGCGCGGACGCAGGGCCTACTCATATCGACTCGCAATGCAAGCGTACGCAAGCGGTCGCAGTAATGGCGTACTTATATAGTACTCGTACTCATGCGGTCCTCGTTAATCTCGAGGGTCGCATTAGACACTCAAGTGTCGGTTGACACGCGCCCGTAGCCGTCCCATAACTTTCTAATGCGGAAATCGGATAGGCGTCACGCGCGGGACTTAATATAAAACCGCGCGGACGCAGGGCCTACTCATATCGACTTGCAATGCAAGCGTACGCAAGCGGTCGCAGTAATGGCGTACTTATATAGTACTCATACTCATGCGGTCCTCGTTAATCTCGAGGGTCGCATTCGACACTCAAGTGTCGGTTGACACGCGCCTTGAGGGTTAATCTCTCGACGCTGGACAACCGCCATGCACGGTTGAAGACCACACGCCCTCTTCTGCACCCTGTGCGGAGTGGGTGGTACACAGGTCCATACCTGTGGTGGCAATCGTTTCTTACTGCCCTAGAGATGAGCCCCACTCCAGTCCAGGACAAGAGTCAAGGGGTTTGACTTTGACGGCCGCCACGGACTACAACGTCCAACTATATAAAATCCTAAAAAAGCAAAAATAGGCCGAAGGTCCCCCTATCCCAAGGGAAATTCATGACCCTCGGGTACCCCCCTTGTGGTTGGTGCCAGCGGCCTATAATAATCCCAAACGTTCGTGCATACGTGCGAGTCCCTTGATCCCATAACCTTTAGACGCTAGGGCGGCGAAACATCGCGCAAGGTTCTAATATAAAGCCGCGC